AGGTCACGACCTCCCGTAAATTACCGGGCAAGTTACCGGAAAAATTAACAGGATCGAAAATAACGGGAGCTTCGAGAAACACCCGAAAAGTTTACGGGGACTTACCGGGTGACTTACCGGGCCCGATAATTTACCGGGTCTTTCGAGAAACAGGCCCCAGGCGAGATACGTACATGTTGACTTTGAATTTTGAACAGTCGTACCCAAGTTGAACAGAAGTTTAACTACAATGAGCAGACATACAGCATTACAGCAAACGCGTTGCAGGTGGAAAGAAATGCATAAGTTGTCGCGAGCGCAATTTTCTTCATTAACTAACAACGACTGATATTATAACATGGAGGAAGATTCTCGCTTTGAGCACATGCTCCACAGGAGTGGTCGCAAGCCTGTAGTCTGGTGGAGTGGTCGCTAGGCCCTCCGCAACACTCACCAGCCGAGAAGTTCTAACTGTCAATATTCGGGATGAAAGGAAATTTCAACAGAACTCGAAATGGAGTTATTACAGAGAAAAATAAAAAAAGGATAACAATTTGCGATCAGGATTAAACGTTCAACAGTTTGTTTAGGGCTTTTCTTGCTTTAACAGCTGCCCTCCGGGTTGGGCGCTCACTGATTACCAAGTTTCTGTCCACTTCTCTGGTGGCTTGCATCATACTGGTCAACCTTGCTTCGGCTGGAATGGACTGGGGTCTCTTTTTGTTCAGCACATTCCAGAGGAAACAGGACGCTGTCCGGACTGTAGCTGTTCTGATTTCCCCGTCTGTACTTGAAATGAGTTCCTCTGTAATGGCTAGCTTCTAGGTACCTCGTGGCGGACAAGTACAACGTCTCCTTTAGTAGGTTGGGTTGAGGATTGTGTCCTGGGAGCTTTTAAGTGTTTCTGGGTCCGTTCACACAAACTCAGTACATACTCGTCGAACCATAGCTTCCAAAACATGTCAAGATGTTTCTGACCTTTACGCCACATGTCAAGGAGTTTTTGTGAAGAACTCAACTCGCTAAGGAAATCTGGGTCTTGTTGTCGATCTCAGTTCTTCTGCTAAGGATGGTACGCCTGTTTTGGGGTTTAGGCTGAGGAAATCTGCTGGGGTGAGTGTGAATCCAGAGCTGAAGTCAGCTCCTTCATAGACTAATGGCCGGGAATTGACAGCTGCTTCCCCTTCTTTTACAACGGTTTCCAGCTGAACCATAGTTAGACAAATCTTTCCAATACTTTTTCGAAGAGACAAGTCCGATAAGTCTTTCATAAAAGCCACCCATCCAGGGAACCAGTTCAATGATGAAGCCCCATTTTATGCCTTCGTTGGCCAGGTAACTTTGTGTGTTACATTAGTGCGCGACAATAATTCATCTGTTTTAAGAACAACGTTGATACTTAACTTTTTTGGCGTCCGCTCACTGAATTTTGGAGCTCTCTTTTTCCAGAAGTCCAGAGGACAAATGCTGCTCTACTTGTACGAAATTGCGAACTACGTGGGGAGCTAGAGTTTTGGAAAAGAAGACAGTAACCTGACCACGTCTACTTAAATATTGGATCCTCTAAGACCCGGATGAACCCCCAACCAATTGCTGGGAGACTGACACTAACAAGTAGTATAAAATCATTTATTCCCCGGGTGGGGTGAATAAATCTCCTTAACACCCTAATACCCTAATACCTGTAGACCCTAATCGCCTTATACCCGAATACCCTGATACCTCTTAAGAGTCCCTGTCCATAAAAATG